AAAGTGTCTTTTTGCCATTTTTTCCCCCCAATATCTTTTGGTAAAGATTTCTCTAAAGCAGTGATTTCCAACTGGTGTGCCACAAGAATTTTTAAAAAATGTAATACCTGACTATTTAGGCAGGGATACTAAACTCTTTTCCCTTAGATTGTTTATAATAATAATAATAATAAAAAAAGACAACATCTAAACAATACCCTTTTTTGTCAGATCAGCAAAAAATATATATTTACTGGTGTGCCACAGAACTTTAGCAGTTAGTTAATGTGTGCCATGAGATTAAAAAGGTTGAAAATCACTGCTACAAAGTTCTGATCCACCTAGAATATGAGCTTGGTGACTGCTAGGACATTGCCTGGACTGTCCACTCATCCCTATGGGTCAGCACAATCTCTTGTACTTTGTAGGTATTCGATTTATATATTTTTGGTGACAGAATGAAGTACCTTCTACCAATCTAAAATCCCCACCTGAAGGATTCAGTGGGAGAGCCAAATGAAGGACAGGACAAGACGAAGAGCAGAAAGATGCACAGGCTAAGGCTCAGGACAAAGAAGGGAAAATGGTTTTATTAACAAGGTATGCAGTCTAGGTTATGGAAAACTGGGTGATTTGAAAAGGACTGGGCTGGAACCCTCAGAATGAGGTGTGTGTACACCAGTTTCAGGGCAGCCGTGATGCGGTGAGTCATTGCCAAGCACATGAAAGCCAGCATGGCATGAAGATCTGTTTCTGAGGAATAACATGTATGAGAGTCTGGCTTATTTTAACTTGTGGTTGTAACATCTGGTGAGAGTACAAGTTTTAAATTATTTATCATTGCAGAATAGAACTGCACCTGCTAGTCAAACTCAATAACAACTAATTAAAACAACAGGGCATTTTTATTTGGAAAGCCTTTGTGGGCAACAGCCTCTCTTCCTCCACACAGTCTACGGGGGTACAGCACATACATAGGCTTTTATTGATTTTAGAGGAAGGGGGAGGGGAAGAGAGAAACATCCATCGACCACCTCCTGCACATCCCCTACAGAGGATCAAACTTACAACTCAAGTATGTGCCCCAACTGGGAATGGGAAATGCAACCTCTCAGTACACTTAACCAACTGAGCCACACTGGCCAGGGCCATATTATATCTGAAGATATAAAAATGTACTTTCTTGATCACCACTTGGTTCTATAAAGGTTGAAAAGCATTATGCACACACTTCCCAATTCTGGCATTCTGTTGCTGTCCTAAGTGCTCAAAATAGAACTTGGAGCTGAGGAGATGCCCAATAAAAGTTTGTTGAATGAGTGTGTGAATAAATGAATCTGCAGCTCTGAGCCGGGGTGGGGGTGGGGGGGGCACTCTACTTTTGCTAATTTACTCCACCACCAGATTGGGGTTGAGTTCTTTCTTTATTTCCATAAATCCAAAGGAAAGTTAAATCTCCTTAAGCATAATCTGTAGGGTCATAGAATCACATTTTCCAAAAATAAAATAAAAAATTGCCCTATTGGCCGGGACCGGTTTGGCTCAGTGGATAGAGCGTCGGCCTGCAGACTGAAAGGTCCTGGGTTTGATTCTGGTCAAGGGCATGTACCTTGGTTGCGGGCACATCCCCAGTACGGGGTGTGCAAGAGGCAGCTGATCAATGATTCTCTCTCATTGATGTTTCTAACTCTCTATCCCTCTCTCTTCCTCTCTGTGAAAAATCAATAAAATAAAATTAAAAAAAAAATGCCTTATTGTTTTTAACTTGAGTAGTATATGATCATTGTAAAGGAAACTTAGATAATACCAAAAGTAAAAGGAAAGTGAAAATTACCACCAACCCCCCCAAAGAAAACACCAACCCCTACTACAGATGAGAAAGCCAAGGTCGAAAGTTAAAGGAAAAGGGACTCACCCAAGGTCTTACATGCCCTTTATCTTCAAATCAAAAACCACGATTTCAGGCAGCCCTTGACTTCTGGTTCTGGCCATCTGTTTCCTGTCCACACCCTAAACTTTCCTCTCAAAGTTGGCTGGACCACAGAGCCTGACCTTCACTATTCCCATAAATGATCAGATTTTACAAAATCCTAAAAGGTAAACATGGACTTACCTACCAGAACCTACTATATCAGAATGAGAAGGTTCACCTTGAAACACGAAATGATAAACTTAGTACCAATATAAGAACTTACTTAAGTACTTCTCTAAAAAAAGAAAGAGAAAAAAATCAGACGAAATAGAATACCCCAAAAGAATTAATACAGACAGTTAAACAAGGTTAGGATACATTTGTGTAAATTTATTTTAGGTTATTAAGATCATCTATCTAACTAAGATTCCCCAAGTATATTCATTTTAAGATTGATATTAAAGAAAGACAGGAAAACATATCCTTCCACAGAAAGCAAAACAAAACAAAAAAAACTGGAAGGGATGAACTATGCAGCTGTGTGGAAAGTTCTTAGGCAAAATCCTAGTTCTAAAGAGCCCTGGCGTATTCACTCTAATCACAGTATGGCTCCAACCACAGCAAGTTAGTGCTAACATTCCTCTCACATGGATTCCCTGTCTCCTTATTCACATAGGAAGTAAAGAAACGGATGACACTGATCTAGCCTGATGCCCAATTTCCTGCCCTCATTCCTGAGGCCCTCTCACCCTCATCCTGGCCCGGCCTGATTTCTGACCCTGTTGTGCTTTGGTTTCCTAGCTTACCACAAGGGACATAAAGGCAGAAAGCATATCTATTTATACCTCACCATTATTTTCCCTGGCCCCAATCAAGACACTGAGACTTGGTTGGTGCTTAATAAATATTTGTTGGGTAAAGATATTTCATGGACTTGCAGGAGGACCAGAGGCCAGATACCACATCGTTGGAGAGAATAAGAGGTGTGCTCACTAGGCCTGGGTGCTGCCCACATGGCCTCAGTGTCCTTTCAGAGCTGGTGCCCCCACACTCTCCCTACTTCCTTGACTTTGTTGGGTCTTCTTGGATGGCGTCCATTATGTCTTTATGGCCTCTGGCTCTCTCTACACTTGTTTTCTCATCAGCATCACTGCCACCCACCTTCAGCTTTTGTACTACTGCTGCCATACTAAGTGTGCCCAAACTGACTTCTCTAATAGTAATCTCTCTCCTTTTCTGAACAAACATTGAAAGTTTCTATCTACAAAGGCCTGTAGGAAAGCCTCATTGTGTGCAGTTTCTAGCTGAAAGTAAACACTCGCCCAGGATACCCACCCAAGAATGGAACCCATCCCAGTTTCCCAGTTGGAACAATGCAGAGACCTTTCCAGCTCCTCGGACTTATATTCCTTGGAATTGTCTTTGAGTTTCTCCCTCTCCTAATTGGTTAGCTAATTCTCCTGCTATATTCAATCTTTGTTTTCATATCCACTGTCCTGATTCAGACTCTCATTACTCTATGTTCAATACTAGCTCTTCAGTGCTGGTATCACCATGTTCTAGTTCATTGCAGATAACGTTTTCTAACATTTTCATCACACACTGCTCCCGTGCTAAGTCTCTGTCTATTGCACTTTGTGTGAAATAGAAACATCCAATAGGTACAAGTCCCACTTACTCTTCCCCAAGTACTCAACGGATTTCGTGCACCAGGATTCGTAGTTCCACTTCTGGGCTTTTGCTGGTGTGATTCCCTCACCTACATGGCTCCCTTTCCACTCTGTCTCTGTCATGGCCTTCTCCATGGCTTACCACTTCCCAAGAGCATTGCTGGCTAGTTTCATCACAGGATGAGGACTGCATTTCCTTCTCCTGGAGTTCATGTTTAGTTCTGGCTATATTGATAGTTTGTTTCTTACGTATTTAGTTAATGCTACTGGTTAAAAAAATTAATAACTACCATTTAGAGAAGCCTCCTATGTGTCAGGGACTGAGCTAGGTCATTTATGAAGTTCAATAATCTTCACAAGCACACAAACTATGTAGACATTATGCCTATTTTACAAATAAGGCAACTGTGACTGAGAGAGAAGTCCCTTGCTCATTCACGCTCACACAGCTCATAAGTGGCAGAGCTGGGATTTGAACCCACAAGAGCCCAGGTACCATGCATGTGTGTGCATTCACATTTCATGAATGGCAGCCTACTCTGACCAAGCTAATCAAAGGCAGTAATTCACCTCCTTCTTTTGCATTCTCCAGACAAATAAGTAGAGCCCGTGGACCCCAAAACTTTTTGTTGTAGATGTAAGTTCCAGTTCCCTCCTGCAGAATCGCTAAAGGACCCCCTTACTAGCACCTTGTCATTTGTGCCCCGGAATTACTGTGAGGCAACACTGATTTGATTTTAAGATCATTGTTTAACGTTTTCCTTCCTGCCAATGCCAACACCGCTTTCTCTAAAGACTTTTAATGCCACTGTCCTCGGCTCTGAGGTCAAAAATTTGAAATATGCATTTATATTCTGTGCTTCACATGTCATTGTTTCATTCCCTCAACCTGCCCTTAGAGTCATCACAACAGAGGCCCTACACAAGGCAGCAGCTTCCAACTAAACTCAGAATCTGTACAGTAACACACCCACTGGCTACGAACCTGTCATACACAGATTCCTGCATCTGCATGCTTTTCTAATAAGAATAAAAATGTGCCACAAGATCCATCTGGTATTTGCTGCCTTTACTTTTTTTAAAAACAGAGACTCCCATTTCCTAAATGGTTTCAATATTCAATATTTGTCATTTTCATGTCACTTTAATAGTATCACTGCTTCTGAAACTTTTCTCCACACGCTGCCTTTGTCGTTTAAAAACTCCACTCTGAAAGACCCTAAGTGAATGCGACTATTTGGTTCTTCTGCAGTCTCTCTTTTTCTTGATGGTTGTTTGTTAAGGCAGAAGTTGGAGGCCTCACAGGAAAACTTTCCGTAACGACTGCTGCCAGCGGGTTAGTGTGCCACGCTTGGCCCTCCAGCGTGATGCTCTGTGAGGCCTGACCCCAACACTGTCATCAACACAACACAAAAATATCTTTCAGCCTAGACCCTTACCTTTCTGCTTCCAGGCGCATCTCTTCCCGCTTTTGCCTCCTCAGTTCCCTGCGACGTTCAAAGTCATCCATGGCGTGGGTTCAGGGTTCGGGAGACCAGATGGTGTCTGGATCTAGAGGGGAGGAGGTGGAATCAGTATCATCGAGGAGTCCGAGTTATTATTTACCATGAATTGCTTTAGCCACCCCCACCGTTTTTTCATTCCCTCCTTTTTTTCTTTACTCTTAGAAAAACACCTTAGAAGACTGATCCGGTAGCCACGGATCAATTTCTAACTCCTGAGCTGAGTCCTTTCCGTGTGAAGTTCAGTCTCATTCATGAAACTATTTGAGGCAAATAAGTAAGATTCCAGTTTAAAAAAAAAAAAGAAAGAAAGAAAGACAGACCTCAGGAATCAGAGAGGTTTTGAAGACCAGAAATATTGATGAGCTTGGGAGAGGTTTTGTTCTTTGTGACTTGCGGAGCCACACACGGACAAAAGTTACAAAAAGAGGGAACAAAGAGCAGAAGAAAGCAAAGAGGGGAAAACAGAAAAGTGGCAAGAAAGGGAACATGTAGGAACTACGAGAGAAAAAAGAAAAGACAACACCAATTAACACGACTACCCAGGCATCATCTGCATAGCCTAAAAGAATATTAGCATCAGAATGATGATACAGAGCACAGCAATAATACCATGAGTAAACATAAGGCAGCAGCGTTTGTTTTTTTCTTTTCAAAAAGCGGTTTCCTTAGGATCAAGCTGTTCCCAGAGCTTAAAAGGCCCGGCTCCTGGTAAAAGGCGCGGCTGGATCCTCTCCTACCTCCTCCGTGACGGTTTTAATCCCAGAAAGATCCTCCCTTTCCAGCTCTTCAGCTGAGGAGCCCGCTGCCTCCCCTGCGCGTCTGTGCCATGGAGTCAAGTATTCCAGAATTCCCCCGCAGCCCCGAGCCCAGAATGACTACCAGAAAAGGGGAAGCCGGCTCTTTTTGTCCTTGCTTTGTTTACAGAGCTGTCAGTGGTTAGTTAAACTCGGCCTGGAATCTGGCGTTTAAGGCCTGCTTGAAGATTGTTTCCTGTGTGGAGCGGGAGGCCTCCACTTCCTCTGGAATCCTAGACTCTCCGCTGCACTCGGATCACAAAAAAATACTTTCCAGCCTTTCTGTGCACATGAGACGAGCCATTTGCTCTGCGCAGGCCAACAGGGAGCCTTGCAGAGCCGGGAGCCATCCCCGAGTGCAGCTTGGTTGGAGGGAGCAAAAAGCAAAACTTAAGATTTAAGAAGCCAAGTCAGAGAGCCCTTCTTAAATAAATGGTCAGGTTTTCTTTTCAAGCATTCCTCTCCCCGCCTCCACCCCCACCCCCCTTCACAAACCCCACACAAACAAAAATAAAACCTCAGCCAACAAAAACAAAACGATCCAATGTTTGGAAGTTTCCCCTTTCTCTCCCCACCACCCCCAGGGTATTACTTATACTGCTTATAAATCTTTTAGAAATTTGAATTCTGGTGTTTATGTGGGGTTTTTACATGGGAAGGTGTTTTTCTAATCTTACTCCTACCAAGAGTTCTCTCTAAAATGTTGCTTGTTATGAAGAAAAGAATCCATTTTCCTATTTATTAAAAAATATATATATATTTCATTAACCAAAGAGAAATTTCTCTACTTTTTCCAGCCTGGTCTCATCATAGGAATCAGAATGGGGGAAGGAAAAAAAGTGAGCTTCGGGTCCTGGGATGGGCTCCTGTTCCGAGCGCAGTGCAGGGAGAGTCAACTCCGCTCTTTCCTCCCTTCAATAAAGCCTTTTGTTGTCTATAAGCCACTTCTCAACAACTATGGCAACAGCAAACAGAAATGGGGAAGGAGGCCTGTCTGGAGGCAAACAATTTAACTTTCCTTAATTTATCCAAGTATTATAGCTTGAAGAGCATCCTCTGAGCCTCCACTCCTCCCTTACCCGAGCTAAGCAGCCGGCCAGCCTTGGGGAGCCACAGGGGTTCCGCTTCTCTGGCTTCTCTGCCGGTGCCCCGGGGGAGGTGCTAAGGGGCAGTGAGACAAGGAGTCCAGCAGGGGAAGATGCAGGCGGTGGCCCACCTTCAAGTGCCCTAAGGGAAGGGAGAGTAACCAACTTCATGTGGGCACTTTGGCTGGGCAGCTCCCTGGCTTCCTTCTCGCACACATTCTTTTTCTCCTCCCCATCCTTTCCTCCTACCCCTCACCTTTCATTACTTATCTGTTTTTCTTTTCCAACTAGAGAAAAATTCTATTCCTATCTAGTTATTTACTCATTTAAATACTGCTGATTATATATATATATATATATATATATATGACACTTAGGGAGAGAGGAAAGAGAGATAGAGAGACAGAGAGAGAGTCTACCTAGACAAGTGCCTGTGTTATTCTTTGTGGACATGTGATGAGTCTATCTGAGGGAGAGGAGAAAGCACATCTGTGTACCGTGTGACGTGACTCTCCATTGGTGTGTGTGTGTGTGTGTGTGTGTGTGTGTGTGTGTGTGTGTTTATGTGTGAAAATGGCTCTTGGTCTCATGCCAGCATGGAATTGAAGATCTTTCTTAATCCTCACACCCTATATCTCAGAACTTCTGAACATCGCTGGCATGTTCTTACATGAGGGGAGCCATGTCTGGGTAGAACTGTGAGTGACTTCCCTGCCCCTCCCTCTTCTGAGAGCAGGAGCTTCCATGTCCCCAGCTAGTAATCTCTCATTTCCTCCCCCAGCCCCAGTCAATGCCAAATTCCTTCCAGCAACATTGATTAGGAAACAGGTCCTCAACCAATGAAGTGATGAAACGTCAAGGCAGAGAGATTCTGTAAACTGTGGAGCTCCTGGGGGTCACGAATGGACAGAGCCGGCCTGAAAGAGACAGGCGGGCTAAAGGAGGGACATGCCAATGAACGGGGCAGATGGATTCTTGAAAAGTCTTATGAAAAGCTAGATTTTTGTGCTGGGGGGTGGGGTTGGGAGAATTGTAGTCATGCTACTGAAAGAACTCTGATGTGACTTCCTTTTGTAAAGGGGGAAAAGCACTTTACAAAGGCAAATGAGCCATTACCTATTGATATATCTGTCTTTTCAATATGGGTTCTCAAATATGGGATCGCCTTAAAACAGGGTATGCCAGCCTTGGCCGGTTTGGCTCAGTGGATAGAGCATTGGCATGTGGACTGAAAGGTCCTGGGTTCAATTCCAGTCAAGGGCATGTGTGGGAGGCAACAAAATGGCATGTCTCTCTCACATCGATGTTTTTCTCTCCCTGTCTCACTCCCTTCCACTCTCTCTAAAAAGCAATGGGAAAATATCCTCAGGTGAGGATTAACAGCAGCAACTACAAAAACAACCAGGGCACACCCATACTGCTGTAATTAAGTAATAAGTCAGTGTTACAGTTTTCAAATCATTTAAACACACTGTCCTTCCTTTTGATAATGACACCATAAGTACTCAGTTATTAGGGGGAGAATCATGTGATGAAAACTAAGTCTTATTTACCCTCAAATTATCATAAACTGAATGGTGAGTGGGTGGGGGAAAAAGTCTTTGGGGGCAGCACCAATATTGGTTTTGAAATACATCAAGAATAAAACCTGTAGTGTCCGGGACTTTGAATAAGTTAGTTGAGTTCTAAAATAACTAACGTTTATTGAGTATGTACTATGTGCTGGGCTTTTTAAAAAGAAAATAACTTTTATTTAAATCAATGTATTTTATTTCTTAGAGTAGATTTAGGCTTTAAAAAATATGAACATAAAGTACCAAGTTCCCATATATTCCCTCTCCTTCACCTCTGCCCACAATTTCTTCCATATTTGCATTGAATTGTGTACTCCCAGTTAGGGTTGAATTCCTAAATCCCAGTATCTCCAAATGTGACCTTATTTGGATATAGAGTCTTTGCCCATGTAGTCAAGTTAAGAGCAGGTATGGGCTCTAATCCCATATGACTGGGATCGCCCCTCCATTTATTTATCCATCCCTTCCTCTCCCACCCCAACCCGTGGCAACCATTAATCTTGTCACTGTTTCTATATCTTTGCCTTTTCCAGAATGGCATACAGCTGAAATCATACAGCATGTAGCCTTTTCAGACTCTTTTTTTCCACTTAGGAATATGCGTTTAAGTTTCCTCCATGGTGTATGTGTGTGTGTAGCTTAATAGCTTGCTGAGCCATTTTAAAATATGTCATCTTATTTTATCTACATAATACCGATAAACCTGTGAGGTAGCTATTATAATCCCTATTTTACATTATGTGCTCTTAACCATAATAATATTCTTACTAAGCCACTGTTTCCTTTTGGGAATTGTTTTTCCTTTCAAAGAATAAGTAAGAGCACTACAGGGAAGTCCTGAGAATATTATTGTCAGTGATCTCTGGTTTAATTCATTCGATCACGTAGACTCGGGTATGAAGTGATCTTTAAAGTTACCCATGCCTCTTTAATTTCAAACCCGTATGGAACTCATAAAATTATCATGTCTCAGAGGCATTAATTAAATTCAACCTTGCAAACATGTATTAAGCACTTATAATTTTATTGTTACTTCTTTTATTTCTTTATTGATTAAGGTATTACATATGGCCCTTATCCCACCATTGCCACCCCCCCTCATTGTTACTTTTTTTTTTTTTTTTTTTTTTTTTTTTTTTTTTTGGTAAGATTCATAAATTAGGATAGCCATTCGTGGATAGCCATTCCTTGCATACTTTTTTTTTTGAGATGTTAGAGATTTTTTTCTCTTGGATTGCACCTTCCTCAATACATGCCTTTCTCCTCTGACCCACTATATCCTCATTCACATTACTATTTCTGTTATTGCAAGGAGTCTAGTCTTTCAACACTCCTAATCATTAGTAGTTAAGCAGATCCTTTCTGACTATTCATCGTACTGGGTCTACTATAAGTTGCAAGGTCCAACTACCTCAATGAAACCTCATGAAAATATTTATACCTTCAATATTCAATGACTATTACTGAACATTTATTATGTACTAAATTCTGAAGCTCTAGGCACTGGGAACTCAACAGTGAACAAGACTGAAAAGGTCCTTGCCTTTCTGGAACTTATATTTCAGACTTTCTTGCTTTTGTTCCTTTCTATTG